CGAAAAATTTTTTATTGCATTCGTTTGGTAGCAAATTACGCCCTCTTAACACTTAAAGAAGGGGTATGTTTTGGTTTTAAAAAAGTTTCTAAATTGTCGAATAATTTTGAAGCCTACTGACTGCTACACTCGAATTCAAGGTTTAAAAACTGCGCACTTTGTACATCCTGTTTTAAAAAAGTTCTTGCGAAATGTTGCAAAAGATGTGGATCATGCTGTATACATTATAGGCAGCATTAATAAATTGACGGATACGATGTAGTATGAATGAATACCTTACAATCATTAAAAAAACTCATATTTAGAAAGTTATTTAAAACCGAAGGATACCCTTTCTTGAAGTATAAAATTTAAAGAAGGCGTAATTTGCTACCAAACAAGTACAAGAAATATATTTTTGTTTATGTTTTCCTTAAAATGTGTTTGAATTTATAAATACAGTCAAAATCAACGATAAAAATGCGTACTATTTAAGTAGTTACTTTTTACCGTACATACCTTTTGTTAGTGGTCACAACGAAGCTCGTTAAAAAGCCCGCATCCTATCATGACTTAAACAACTCCAGAATAGGCTACACGATAAACAGTATTGCAAATTTTCTCAATGCCGATGAGCGAAAGAGTATCAATCTTTCGCCTATGTCGGCATGTTGCACGAATTCTGGCGCGTACTGTAGTTGCGGATAAGGGGAGCGTTAGGTTAGGACATGGGAATACTTACTCTTCTTGGAGTTTGTTGCAAGGTCACCTGTACGCGTGTGGGGGGGACGTTCCCAATCCACCGTCTTGCCGGTAAGGAGGGGGGCGAGAGGACCTATAAATAATTTCCATCCAAGAATAGCTGGATGATAAAAATAAGGCACATTGCTAAGGCGTCACAGCAAGATCTCTTTTAAGTTCATCTCTAACGTAGACAGTTTGCAGAGAGGTGGAATATTTCAGGGCGTTGTTCGCTGAGTATATGCCTCAAATGTTTCTTCCGTCCCTGCGTACTACCTTTCAATTAAACGCAAAAAGGTTGTAGGCACTTCAAACTTGGATGTTTGGAGAATGAGGCATGAAATGGAATGGTACCTGGGAAGCAAGGTGAGCCATGAAGCGGAAGGGGGGAGAATAAGGAAATAATAACGGAAGGGAGAGAGGAAGTCTTGCTGACCAATGTCGGCATTGAGACCATGGTAGTGATACGAGTGAAGAAAGGGACGGAGGAGGAGGAGGGGTGAGGAGAGGGGGGATAAATGAGGGAGTAGAGACAGGTATCATAATTCATCAGTCCAC